ATATTGCGAGGTAACGCAAAAGTATTGCGAGGTAACGCAAAGATATTGCGAGGTAACGCAAAAGTATTGCGAGGTAACGCAACACTATTGCGAGGGAATGCAAAAGAAGAAAAAAAACTCCCCATGTCCCCTCGCGGGCTCCGTAAAATACAGATGAACTAAGCATTTTCTGGAAAAGTAAATTGTTAGGGGTGTAGTAATTGCAGCTTTCCTACTTTGGCCGATATTTTTTAAATAACTGACGCTATCAGGTGTTATAAGGTCACAATACCCTTAAAACAAGACAAACTTAGTTTAACTGTAAGTGAATGTAGATGAGAAGCCGATTTTTTCCACCGATCTTCAATTTCCCAAAATTTGAAAAATCGGCCCCCCTAATTGTATATGTTGAGCGCTGATCGGCTGTTGAAATTGGTTATAGTTAAAACAGAAAAACACACCTCGCCTGGCCACACCAAACAAATGTAAAATAAGATGTCTACATATCCTTTGAGAAGAAATTCACTAAGCTCTTTGCTCAGACCTCATTTCTCTGCCCCTCAAGTCTCATCTTTATCATTTCTTTCTCTCTAGTCCCGTCCGTCTGATTTATGCCCCAACTTCAAGTCACAATTTCCAAGCGTCCCACTCTTTCTTCCCCGTTTCTGTTTCTCCTGTATCTCTTGTTTACCAGAGCGTGCCTAAGTGACACAAAGCTGCCGAGACAAAAGAACTGTGACCATAAAATAGCTGATTTGATGAAAACAATGCGGTACGCCTTTGGTTTCTCTTTGATGTTCTGTGCCTCCGCTCTTCAGAGAAGCAGAGTAAAAAAAAAAGAAATAGTAATAAAATTTTGGGTCACATCTCTTGCTTCCTCAGTTTCAGCTAAATCAATTTCTGCAAGCTCTGACCCAGCAGAGCTCCAATCTTATTATCTGGCTCTTGACATGTCCCTCGGAGCACGAAGGAGCGCAGCAGCTGAGGGCAGACAAGCATCAGCCCTCCTGGTAAACAAGCTCTGGGCTTTTCTGCTGCACAGATTCCAGCAGGTGCAAACTTTACAAGCAAGCTGGAGGATGATTGGCCACCAAACAAGCTTTCTATCTTCTTTTTTTTAAATCTTTTATCYTCCTACTGTATTTCACTTTCGCACTTTCAGGCTGCAGTGCGACCGCAATGTCCACACCCAACTATATATTTTGGTTTTGGACTWCACACTGTGCCCAGTCTGTGTTTTCCCATTGTTTTCTGTTTTTATATATATATATTATATCCCTTTCTATTCCTATTGTCCTCCCCCAGACATTTTCTGTCTTCTATTTGTTTTATTTGTCTCAGAACAATCCCATCTCAGCTGAAGTGAAACACCAAATCCGGCCCATTAGAATGTACCGCTGAAYGCAGCTGGACCGCAGATCGTTGTCTACTGTAGATATAAAAATAAATGTCAGATCAGAGAAAAGCAATTGAGTTAATTGACCATATCCTGTTTCAATTTAACATTGTGCCACAGGCCGGGGGGTTTCCAGGCTTCCTGCGTGGGTTCAGTGACTGTAAAGATTAGACTTTGGAAATACATCTCATTATTTTATTCCTAGACATAAATGATTTCATAAAAAAATAGATCCGTGTTTTTTTAAGGTAAAAGGAGAGCTTGGTTTATTGTGCTGAATGTGGAAGATGATTCTGCCCCCTGTTGTTAAAAACGTAAATCTACAGGCTTACTCTGACAACTTAATGTTAGCATGTTCAATAAATGAATGATACAGTGAATAAATTAAAGAGTTTAAAATTAGACTTTTTGATTTATGTTTAAAAACCTGTAAAATCGTGCATTTTAAGGTACCTGTGACATGCATGTTCTTCAAATACAAAAAGTCAAAGAAAACATCTTTATATTTAAGAAACTTGGCATAATACACACAATTTTACCCATTTTTGTCACATAATTAGCATGTTTTCTTTTGAACTTGGCTCAGCCAAGTGAAACAGGAAGTGACATCAAAGGGGAACTCTTTAACAAAGAAAACTCTCTGGTCTTTGTATATTGACAAAATATTATTTAAACTGACTTGTTTTCCTCACTTCCTGACGGTGACTCAAAATAATTTAAAGAAACATCTGATTCTTCTCTACAGTCTGTGTTGTTGGCTGTTGTAGCAATGCTCTGTTCACATGCAGACATTCCCCTTTGATGTCACTTCCTGTTGCTTCACAGGCAGATATCTCAACAACCGTTCATCACAGCAACATGAAATTTCTTTTGCAATATTTTATCAAAGTCATCTTTCTAAAAATGCATTCACGTGTATTACAAAAATTTGACGTCACAGGCACTTTAAGGGAGAAGTCCTGAAATACCTACATTTACACAGCTCATGAATACATGAGTCTACATTGTATAGTAGATTATTAACTGAATTATCAGTTATGAAACCATGCAAATAATACATTTAGGGCAGAATACTAGATTACACTGTCTGAGATCTTTGTATTTGTTATGGGATATGCAGACTCTGTCATTGTGATTAAACCATTAAGACATTATTAGGATATATTCTACATGCTCCTAACATGCAAATGTCTTTAATCCTTTGCAGCCTCTGACCATCTTCCAGAGGTCTCTGACCACCATGCAGATCCAGATTCAGGGCCTGCTGCAGTTCGCCGTTCCTCTGTTTCCCACAGCCGAGGTAGTGCTGTGAGATTGTTTTAATTGAAGCATCAGAGGATTGTAAATAAAAACTGCTGCGGCGTTTTTTTTTTAATATTATTTTTTCATTGATACAACCCCTCTCCACACAGAGAGATTTACTGGGTATCCAACATTTGCTCAACACCTCCGAGGCCAGTCTGCATCAGCTCACCGCCCTGCTGGACTGCAGGGGACTCAACAAGGTTTGTTTACTAAAGCTTAATTGGGATCGCAGCATTACAAACCAACGGCCAGCTTAAAAGTAAGCATCCACGCAGGATTTGACATTTGAACTGCGACTAGATGAAGAGCAGAGCCAGGAGAAATGAAAACAGTCAGCCTCAGCACCATCGACATAGACAGTCTTTAGTCAGCACACATTAATATTTGCTAATGTAGTGACTGTTCACACTGTTAAGTCAGCCTGGATGAAGACTTTTGCCTCTTTCTCGATAGTCTAGAGACTGATGTCACAGTTGATAAGGTGCATTTAATACTGATAACTATGTGACAGAACATCACTTCAAAAATGATCAGGTTTAGTTTAGTTTTTTTTTCCAATAAACTTGTGTATATATACAGCGGGTAAAATAAGTATTGAACACGTCACCATTTTTCGCAGTAAATATATTACTAGAGGTGCTAATGACATGAAATTTTCACC